AAGAACACAAAATTGGAATTCTCCGACCGTTTGATCTTCAGCATCCTCAAAGCCCTACTCACCGTCGATCTCCACCATCTGACCACCATCTCTTTGATGTCTCTACCCCTCCGACTCTAGCCTCCTTTTACCTTCTTCCCCTTCTTTCATCTATGCCCAAAAGCACCCCAATTTTGTAACCCATGAAGTTACTCCTTTCTTCCAACTTTGATGACCCAACAGAGGAACAACATGTCTGATGAAGACCCAAAAGCACCTTAATGAAGCTCAGAATTCGCTATCAGGGTTTAGTTCACCAAGTTAGGAGATTTTTCTTTAGGGTGTTCCTCATTAAATTTCATGATTGAATCATTGAATCACAGAATTTTGTACATTGCCTTTTGATTCTTTGGAAAATCAACGTTTGGTTGGTTATTGTATTTTGGTGGTTCTGTTTTTGACAGTCGATTGTTTCCAAACTTATAAGTGGCGACCGAAGGAGGTTGTCGGGTTGACCGTTGGAAAAAATGGTCTGGGTAAATAGACTGCAATGTGAAGATGGCAACGATGAGAGGTAATTCGTTTTAGTTTTAGTTTTAGTTTCATTTTTTATTTGAGGTTTAGATTTTGATTTTGGTTTTAAGGCTCGGATTTGGGTTTTGAGAGATGATTGTAGGTTTGTCGGAGAAGATAACTGAAGGTTTGTTAGAGACGACGAGCGGAAGTTCTACCACAAGGTTAAAGATCCGCGAGGTTTAAGGTTTGAACAAGGTTTACATACATGTTACGTTTTTGGTCCATGTAGTTTACATTTTTATCTGTTTATTAAAGAAACTTGTAATAAAAGCATAAAAGACTAAAATCCCTTTCTATCTAACGGGATTTTTAATGGCCGTTAGAGGCAAGAACCAAATCTGGTCATTTTGCAAACCACAATGCTCATCTTGTAATTTTAAAATTGAATGGACCAAAAGTGTTAAAAACACCAAACAATTTGAGACATCAATTTAAATATATAATTATTTTAATTATGCATTTATTTTAAATTATCTATTTATTAATTTTATTTAAATACGATTACATTAATTATATTAATAAATAAAACTGATTAGATAATAAACTTTTATTTAAATTAAAACTGATTAAATACAAAAAAAAACCTCTAAAACAGGCAGTGCAATTACGATATATGACAAAAAACCTCCAGAGAGAAAATGATCACTATGTTAAAAAAAAAACCTCATAAAAACCTCCAAAAAAACACTGTTTACAAGTGTTTTATGTACGTTTTGAAAATAATTATCTCGTCATTATCAACTTATTGCTGCAATAACAAATTTATAGCATATGGGTGATAAGTTCGTATAATTACTTTACGATTTAGAATCACGTGAGACGAGTCTGTTTTCGTGAGACCCGTGAGACCATTTTTTTGCACCTTCACAACAAAATGCTATGAAAGTAACTTTCAAAGTGTATTCGCTGTGAATGTTCGACCTTTTTTTTAACTTCACAGCTTTTACTGTGAAGTTTGAAGTGTAAAAAATAATCTCACGAAAACAGACTGATCTCACATGAGCCCAACCATTATTTAATTATCTGTAAGTAAAATAGTTATTTTGTAACTATTTTAAACTAAATTATTTATTTAATGGTATAATAAAAGTACTTACAGACTTTTATTTTATCTGTTATTTTAAAATTTTCAATTTTCAATTTAAAATTTAAAATATCAAACATTAATTCTAAATAATTAATATAATATTAATTACAACAAAACTGATGGTCAATAATATTACTTTTCATAAATAAATATAACTGGTCAATAACTTGATTATAATAATCAATATAATATTCGTAAATTATATTTAAACTAATATTAACCGTTAATTTAGTCTAATTAATATTTTATTTTTTAAATATTTTGATTTATAAAGAATTATGATATTTTCTATAAATATCTATATTATAATAAATAAACTCTTCTAATTTTTATAAAAGGCAAATTGCATGAAAAAAGTAACGTATTTTAACTTGATTCTTGTTTCGGATAACGTATTTTCAAAACTTTTATTTTGGTACCTATGATATAAAGTTTTAAACAATTAAGTACTCAGATAACCGGTTGAAGACTAATTTTAGATTAAAAAAAATTCATCTCACTAACCACGTCAGCAAATAATACTGAGTTGGATACCACATCACTCGTCACATTAGCATGATAACCTGTTAATGCTTCAACATGTTACCCAGATACTCAAATGTTCAAAACTTTACATTTTAGGTAACAAAATAAAAGTTTTGAAAGTACGTTATTTAACATAGAAATCAAGTTAAAATACATTATTTTTTTACGCAATTTATCATTTTTATAAATAAATAAAAATGTTTTAGAAGTTGATATATTGTGATTGGTCATGTGAAATAAATTTGAGTCCTACACAATTACATGAAAATTCTATGATTTGTTGTTAGGTACATCTCTCAATCAACATGTATATATATATATATATATATATATATATAATACCATTAAAAGAAAACACTAACATTAAATTTTAGAAGACTTTTATCCAATTTACCTCATCACTCCAAATAAGGCTTACGAAAAAGTCTAGTTTATTTTGTTTAATCGTGATGTTAATTGTATGATGTTTGAGTTTATGTTTACTTCTATAGAGTAATATAAAACGTTGTTTGTAAATGGTTTAATTATGTTTGAGACATTTAGACTTTGTAATTTACTTTTAGTTGTGAAATTTAACATATTGTAATTTTTTTTTCCAGATCAGTTCAGGCTTCGAGTTCGGATATAACAAACAGTGAATGGGGAAATCAATGGGAAAAAGAGAATTTTTACCCTTAACGGGATCCCCAACAGGGATCGGTGAAACCGCAGGACCTGACGGAGATCCCTGATAAGATCCCCGATGGGGATCCGGGACGGTTAAGGGAATGGTTTTAGTTGTCGGTTGCGAGGACGGGGATACCAATAACCGGTCCAAACCCAACCCGTTGCCATTCCTATAGACATGAGGGTCCAATACGCAAGTTAAGGCTCCTGGACCGGTTACATTTAGACCATTTAAAGAGACAGATAAGGATAGATTATAGCTAATCAATCTCTATCAAATACCTTTTTTTAATTGACGAGTTAAAGTTAACCAATTCGCCGATAAAACAGTTTAAGTTGACCGGTCCTCAACGTCAAATCAATTACACATCACGGTTTATGAACCAAGACTTGATATATCATAACTGTTTACCTGGTGACACTTTTGACATGCATGAACTTTTGTGCATTTGAACATGTCACAAATTATTTTCCTGTGTGCAACAGTTACTGATAATTATCAATTCTACATAAAGTATCCTAAAAAATCATTTCGAGTTATTGCAAACACTGTCTTTTTATATAAAATCTATCGTTATTTAGTTTTCAGTCCGGTCGTAACCTTTACGGAATGTCCGTGATATTAAAGTTGATTTAGAAGATTTTCTGTTGTGTCATTGTCACAAGATATTTCTAAAAAGTTTGACTGAAAACCAAGTGCTTTTATAGTATACATATAAACCAGTTAATTTTTTTAATCGTTTTAAAATATGTGCATAACACGTTGGTTCTTGCTAATTCACACGAGTTTTCTCTGTGTCGTGTTTTGTGCATAACATACAAACGGGACAGGGAATGCACCCCGATCCCGACCCGCCTAATCCTCGATGGAGTTCGAATCGTTTTTTCGTTATGAACATTCTGTATTAGTAATATGTTCATGTAAGACTGTTACTTTATGAATTCGAAATACTGGATCTTTGAAAAACCGATAGAGTTTTACTTCATCTTTTTTAAGAGTTATGAACATTTTGTATTTTAATTTGTCTCAAAATAAGTGACGTTTTTTAAAGTACGTGTCTACTTTTCTATCTTTGTTATTAATGGTGAAAATGTCGTTACAAAATTAAAAAATATAATAATTATATATTTTTCTAAAATTATGTGTCGTTTTTATTATAAGTATTTATTTTGAGACGGAAAAAAATATTAATAAATTATTTAAAATATAAAACTTTATTTAAAGAAAGAAGATGCAAGAAATTCTGTTCCCTGAATATTGAAGAAAAATAAATAGAAACAAAACATGGCTTTTTGGTAGCTAAATAACCATAATATATCACCCTTCTTTTTATTTAATAAATAATAAATTACTTTAAATAAAATCAATTTTTTTTGGGAAATTGATCATTTCTTCAACTAAATTTCATTTATAGCCATTTTTTATTCAAATTCCTATTTTAATAAAGTTTATGTAAATATCTTACGAATTTGTGAAAACTCCTTTTTTAGATTTAAAATAAAATTAGAAAAAGGTAAATTGCAGGAAAAAGTAGCGTATTTTCAAAACTTTTATTTTGGTATCTAATATGTAAAGTTTAAACATTTAAGTATCCGTGTGACCAGTTGAAACATTAATTGGTTATCATGTTGATGTGACGAGTGATGTAGTATCTAACTCAATATTATTTGCTGACGTGGTTAGTGTCACAAATTTTTTTTTAACTAAAATTAGTCTTCAACCGGTTACCCGGGTACTTAAATGTTTTAAACTTTACATCGTAGGTACCAAAATTACAATTTTAAAAATACGTTATCTGAAATAAGAATCAAGTTAAAGTATTGTATATCAGTAGTTTTGAATGCCGTATATTTCGATTTATGTTATTATAAGAACATTTTCAAGAGATTATTTGTTTATTTTTCTAAAATGGCAAAAACGAATTGCATTTACTTTATTGGTTTATATCCTTTATTAAAAATATTCGACATATTTAAAATTTAAATGATAATATATTCAACTTTATTAAAAAATAAAATAATTGAATTCCATAAAAATGTTGGCTTTTTATATTTAAAAATCAATAACGTAACCATTAAACCAAACATTTTCAAAATCATCAAAATTGGTCTTGAATGGTCAAACAAGTGGACTAAGGTTCAAGTAACCACATGTACACACATGTACACTATACGAAATAATCGTTATCATTTTTTCCGTTTTCTTTTCTTGGAATTTTGCGATGAGAGATCCAAACCATATAATTATATTTTACATAATTTTCAAAAAACCAAAGAAAAATAAAAACAAACCCAAAAAGAAAAAAGAAAAATAAAAGTCGACCCTTAAAAACAGAAACACACTGCACCTAGCGGAGAATCTATTTTCTCCGGTCAAACTCTCCGGCAACTCGCCACCTACTCACCCTACAACGGATTAGTTTTCCGGCGAAAACACCACCACGCGATTAGAATTAAAACAAACAAATCACAGTGCATCTAATTGGGTCACAACTAGTGGGCTTCGAACCACATGTTTTCCATCAACCCATGAAACTGACCCGAATATCGCGCCGGAGATACCCATCACAAGATTGCTCCGATCAATCTTCACCGTCACGTAGTAACTCAACTCCCTTACTTTGTCGGAGAAAACCAACTTTCCGGGACGCACCACCACCGTCACATCCTTTGGTGCCTCCACCTTCACGGTGTAAACGGAGTTCACGTCACCGACGTTCCTCACCCTCCGAACCATAGTCTTGGACAAAACCCCCTTTTTTCCGGTGGAGAACATCGCAGCAATAGATGGGTAATTCAGGTTTTCCGGCACTGGTTTCCGTCTCATCGGACAAGCCGCCGGTGATCGAGTAATCACCTGAATTGTCTTCGGTCCGTAGCCAATTGAGCATAAGAAACTGACGTAATCTTCATTGGTGAGATCATAAACAAGACCTGGATCCATGGCGAGATCAAGGTTTAAATGACCAGCACCAAAATCATAAGGTGTTGTGGCGTTTCCGGTGGATTCATCAGTCATGGGTTGCAGCTGTTTATTGACGGTACTTGCTGTGGTCATGATGGCGGACTTTATTGCCGCCGGTGACCAATCAGGGTGGGCGGATTTCAACAAAGCAGCAGCGCCGCTCACGTGTGGACATGACATTGAAGTTCCCGAAAGTATATTAAATTCAGTTTTCCGACCATCGGAATCTAACCCCGTCGGACCGACAGCGTCGGTCCAAGCAGCTAAAATGTTAACTCCGGGAGCAATCAAATCCGGTTTTAGAATCTCTGGGTTCATCCCGTTAGGCCCTCTGCCGGAAAATGAAGCCACCACCGGTGCAGGTTTAATTCCGAGCACCGTTCCTTTGAAATTAATCGTAGCAGTAGCACGGCCGGTGGCGGCGTAAGCTTTGATTACATCACCTTCGTCGGAACCAACGGAGCAAGCCGGAATAAGATGAGCGTCGCCAACGAGACCTTCGCCGTTAGAAACTCCGTTAGATAGAATCATTCCGACACCGCCGGCTTTCTTCACCACCAAACCCTTGGCCACCCTTGGACTACTACCTCGATCGCAAATTACTATTTTACCCTTGACTAGGTTAGGATCCAATGCATTGTCCATACACAATGAAGCAGATAAAATTCCGGATTTTCCAGGATAAACTAGAGGATATTTTTTTCCGCTGATTGCGGGTCCAGAATATAGCGATACACCTGCGAGCTTCCGTCCGTCGCCGAGGATAACTTCCGCAGGAAAGTTTCTGTCAATTGTACCAGCTCCGACGGTGGTCAGCCATGGAGCTAGGTTAGTGACAGACATTCCGTTAGGACCGTCGTTTCCGGCGGAGGACGAAACAAAAACTCCTCTAGAAACAGCGCCGTAGGCTCCAATTGCAATTGGATCGAGATAATACGGTGAAGAAATGCCGTCGCCGCCTCCGATTGAGATAGAGATAACATCAACGCCGTCGTTCACGGCAGCGTCAAACGCCGCAAGGATATCTGAATCGAAACAACCAGAACCTTTCCAACAAACTTTATAAACCGCCAATCTAGCTTTGGGAGCAACACCTTTAGCTATTCCGGCGGCGTAACCGGCCATACTAGCTTTAAATACATACCTTCCGGCGGCTGTTGACGCCGTGTGTGTACCGTGGCCGTCGGCGTCTCTCGGAGATCGGAACTCAACCGTATCGTTAATCGCGCCACCGAATCCAATACCGCCTCCCATTCCACCAGCAGCTTCATGTCCTTTGGAGAAGAATCGAGCTCCAACTATCTTCCTATTACAGTTCCTCGATGTGAATCTTCCTCCTGTCTGGCAAACGCCTTTCCACCGCTTCGGAACAGGTCCAAGGTTCAGATCGGAGAAGCTCCGTCGCTCCGGCCAAATTCCGGTATCAAATACGCCAATAATAACATCAGAACCATAATCCGATTCGGACCATAAACCTCTCTGGTTCCTCAGCCCAACAAACTGTGGCGAACGAGTAGTGTGAAGCTCACGCCGCCGATCTTCAAACACCGCGAGTACAGATGGATTCTTTCCCAAAACGGAAGCCTGTGAGGAAGTGAGAGAAGCTGAGAATCCCCTGAAGACGGTGTCGTACACATGAAGGATCGTGGCCGATTCAGTGAACTCAGAGGTGTACCAATGGTAGTGAGTGGGGAAAATCGATGGTTTAGATTGAGCATCTACTCGGAAAATGTAAGTTTTGACGGTCGGATCTGAAACTACGGCTTCGCCGGCGACGAAGAAGAAGAAGAAGACGACGACGAAGAGGGAACAGAGGAGCAAAGCCATGGCAGAAGGCTTTGGGAGAGTGAAGTGTGAGTGTGTGTATTGGAGTGTGTGCTTATAAGCACATAATAAGCCTGGGGTCTATTTATTAATTAATTAATTAATTTAAATTAATTAATTAATTTCTGGATTAAAAGAAACTAATTTAATGAAAAATTATATTTATTATAATATTATGCATTT